ATGAGCAACATAATTTAGAAGGAATCTTAACTATTCAAAATACATTGATAATAAAAATGGCACCACTGATCCTTACACAAGCAGAATTTACCAAATTCATATAAACTATTTCGGAAACTCAAAGCACTTCCAATAGCAAAATTATCAATCACTCCTTCTTTTCTTCACCAACACACTAATATTACTTCTTTCTAATGTTAACAATCATTCAAACTGGTCCTAGACTATCCAAGGTCTGTTCACATTCACCGTAAAAACGAACGAGCAATTTCAATGGGCCACAAACACAACAATAAAATGTTTAACATCAAATGCAAATATTTAGAGAAACATCAGCACCATCATCATCATCATATATAACCAATTGCAAGAATTATATGAGGGTATCAAAACTTTGACTTACCGATAAATGCCGTTAACTAACAGTATCGACAAGGAATCAGTTTTACCAGCCATCCGAAGATCCATCCAGCATCTACATCGATCAAAAACTTCTGACCGAGTTTTCTTTCTTCGGGCTTCACTCCGTGAAAGCCTGAAACTTCAACCCCCTCAATACGAGTTTGTCACCTCTCATAACTCAACTGTTCCATAACTGCTCCTAATCAATATCATAATTCACAATTAACTATGGACTCAACACATAGTACTTTAATTTCCCATTGGCATCTCATCAAAAACTTGAGTGCATAAACAAAGTACTAAAATTTCACACAATAATGGACATTAACATGATATACTATTTGGAGAATTAAACGAAAAGAAATACTGAAATTGAAACCAATAAACCAGTAGTTTAAGATCTGATAGGCACTTCACCAACACTTGGGGCATAAACAAAGTACTCTAATTTTACACTCAAAAACTGTAAATACAAATGAAACAGAGTAATCTTGGAGAATTAAAGCAAAAGAAAAGGCTAAAATTGAACAAAAACACAACCCACAACCATAAGTTATGTTAAGACAAATATATAATAACCCAGAAAAATATTGAAGTTAAAACTTGAGAAGAAAAAAAAACCCAACTTTAGATTGCATAGAACAAAATAAATACCTTATAATGAAGATACAGAGTGTTTTGGCGCTAATGAGAGCTTTATTGGGCTATAAAGGGGAATGAGACTTTCAGACTTATCGAGTAATACACCCACCAAGATCCCTATCGTCCCACAGGCCACCAAAGAGTCCCTAGTCTTTGCATACTTTTGTTAATTTGTTAATAGATTAGGGGTGTTCGTTTCGGGTATCCTACACTTTTTGAAGAACCAGAACTGAACCGGAATCGGAACCGACGTTTCCTTGAAGTTTGGAACCAGAACCAGAACCAAACCGACGGTTCCGATTCCTAGGTACCTGGAACCAAAATCTGTAATAACGGTTCCGGTTTCAGTTCTGGGTACCCTGTAAAAATTACATGACCCCTCAAAAGTTTTTAAAATGGCAAAAAAACCCTTAAAACTTACAAATACCCCCTACCTGGCACTGTTACAAAAATAAAATTACAAATTATAAATTCAAAATTACAAACTCCATTACTTTGTAAAGGTAGATTCTCAAAAGGCAAACCAACTTACTTTAAATGTTATCAATAATAATATAAATGTATTCCACTTACTTTTTCTACAAAAGTTTTTATTAACCCCCCTAATCTTTAATTTTATTTTATTATAGTCTTGGTTCCTGGTTCCTAGTTCCTGGTTCTGGTTCTGGTTCCTAACTATAGGAATCAAACCGGAACCGAAACCTACCCATTACGACTGTTTGGTAGGAACCGACCAGAACCAGAACCGGAACCAAACCCAGGGTACCCGCCGGTTCGGGTCCACCATTCTTTTGAACACCTCTAAATAGAATAGAAAGAAGTAAGGGTGTCTTTCATAGTTTCAAAACGATAAGGGGTACTTAATATTTTCAGTAATTCAGGTTAATAAGTGCCAAAATCTTCTACATGTGGTAAATGGTGGACTAATAAGATTATAAGATGTTGCCACGTTTCTTAAGCCACTGTACTAACATAAACGTGGCGATGATCTGTTAATTTGTGACATATGTGTTTGTTTTGGCAGCGTGCAATTGTTTGAAGTGGGCGGCTCAAGTTCTACATAAACACCTCCTCGACTCCCCCTCTGTACAATGTATCCAATTCAAAGAGTGGTGTAAGGAGAAAGAAACATTGCAGCCTCTAAGTTTTTGTTCTATTCTGTGTCATCCCTCATATCTGCAAAATCAGCTCGAGTTCTGTTAAGGTTGTTATTTCTATATGTATTGATACATTGACAATGTATTTAAGATTATAAGATTATAACTTGTTGATGCCTGATTTTGACCACCAATTAAATGCACGTGTGAAATGCTGAGTGCGCCCAGAAGACACACGTGGATGTGGAGTGAGAGTAAAGCAATAAAGAACAGCGTTTAAAGTGGTTCGGATGCTAAGAAGTAAATCCTACGTCCATTGATTTTGTATAATGATATTGGTCAGGTCCATTCAACGACTGACTTACAAATGATTATACAAGAGTTAGAATGCTATTTTTCTTTGAGAGAGTAGTTAATCCCTTAAATGAGAGAGGAGCTCTCATTTTATAGTGGGATGGATTAAGGTTATCATTACTAAATCTATGAGTTGTGGGATTATCCGTGTAAATCCTTCTTATGTCCCATTGCCCACCTTATAGAGCGATTTACGCGATTTGGTACAGTGATTAGACACGTGGAATCACTCTAGCTCTTAGCTGATCTGACGTGCACCATTGCCCTGACAAGAGCACGCCGCCCCTATCATTGTGTGACGTCTACCTCTGATTGGCTGCGGACATACCTAACTCTGACTTTTTATGCTGATTGGGTCTTGCGTCAACCCTACTTTTTCAGGCATAATGAAGTCCCCTAGTTTTTTTTAAGGTTTTGGGATCAAACCATGTTTTCAAATAAATATAACAAACGCATATACGATTTCTTATTTTCAAAATAAGGTTTTCAGGCAAATATATAGAATTTATTTTCATTTTTTTAAAATAGGCATCATCTAAATCAATTATTTTAAAATATTCTCATAAATGAAAAAGCACACACCCGTGAAGAGTTTGGTATTATTTGCTCTCTAATGAAGTTGAACCGATTAATTAGTTGGTAAATTATTGATTAGTAGGTAAATTAATTAGTTGATTTGTTTGGTTACCAACTAATTAATCATATGATTATTCTAATAAAATTAAATCTGGTAATATAATTGGTTAATTATATATGCATTAATAATTTTAAGGAGACTTTAAATTAGACAGTAATATTAATTATTTAAATAGATAAAAATAACAAAAACTTTATAAGTATTATAATAGATAAAAATAACAAAAACTTTATAAGTATTATAATTATCTCAACTGATAATTTTGTTAGTCTAATACTGTCTCTGTTTTATTATAACTTTTAATAAATTGAAATGTTTGTTTTTCGGTTTGAAAACAAATAAATTAATATTTATTATTTTGGTTGAGCAGCAGATGTTAAATTACAAACGGGGCCCTGAACATGTTGATGACAAAAAGTGGGCAGCCATCCACATCCTTTCCTAAAGTAATTTCCAAATCTTCAGAATGTGGGCCTTAATGCCCACCCCATAAGTGTAAATATAAAATTTAATGTTAGCCCATACTTTTCTGAAACTGTCACTTATACCCTGTTATAACAATTACATTCATAAAAAATTCCTAAAATGTAAAATCCCAAACTCGAACATTAAATTTTTGAGGGTTATCTTAACTTGTGCTTCTAGGTAGGGATGTGAAAAAGAAACAGCTGAAACCGGAACAAGCAAGTACTTGGGATTTCGGTTCCGGTTCCTAGTCGAAACTGACCCTCACAAGGTACGTTCCGATTCTAGAAATCAGGAATCAGTTAGTTTCTATTTTGGTTCCACCCTGTAGGAATCGAAAACCAAAACCGATCGGGTGGGTAGGAATCAGGACTAAATTATAATTTTTGTAACTATTGGCCATGTATAGTAACTTTTAGAGGGTTTATTTGTCATTTTATAAATATAGAGGGGTAATTAAATTAACACGGGTACCCAGAATTAAAACCAATGTTTCAGGTTCCGATTTCGGTTCCAAATTCAAGGAACCAGCCAGATTCGTTTCCTTTGAATTTGAGCGGGTACCTGGACCTGCCCAACCTTACTTCTAGGCATAGGTTAAAACCATTGAAAAACAAAGAAAATTTGATAATATTAATGCATTGGCGACAAGCTTTTTTTTTTTAAAATAAAAAATAAAATGCATTGAAAAAATCGAACCTTTATTTTGTAGTGACCTTAACGTGCGCTGAAAAACCCAATGTCCAAAATTTTCTAAAATTTTAACATATTCAAAACTTCAAAATTATATCGGTAACAAATTTGACAATCGACATGATAAGTTCAAACAGAAGAGAGTTGTGGTTTTGTCGGGAGTATGTGTAAGGCTCTCTTCAAAAGTGGGCTTTGTACTGAATTTGGGCCTTTAAGAAAGTTGTAGCCCATGATTCATCTCCTAGGAGTTGGGCCTCTTCATTAAGCTTCTTATAAATTCGATAGGCTAAATCGGACAAGATGCTTCAAAAGAAAATGAATTGGAAGGAAAATTATTTAGGGAATATTTGTTTTTGATTCAAAAATAACTTCTAAAAATAATATTCAAAATTTATTTTTATTATATCTCAATATTTTTAATATTTGAAATAAGGTCCAAAAACTATTTTCAAAGTTATAAACACAACAAAATAATTTTTTCCTCAATTTGATTTTACACTATACCCTTCAAAATTATATTCGCAAACTATTCCTTAAATATTTTTAAATTCATGTTTTTTATTTAAAAAAAATTATATTTAAAAGCATAAAGCCATAAACCCTACTTGGTTTGGGCCTGTAAACCCAAATCGAAGCCCAAGTTTAAAAAATCCAGGCCCATGATCTCAATAACCCATTCATTTTTTTCTCCTTTCTCTTTCGTTCAACATCGCGCACACTCTGCTCTCATACTTCTCAGTCACAGTCGACTCCGTCGCCTCCGTCACCTCTCTAACGGTAAAATACTTCTCTTTGCTCTTCCATTTGTTCTCTGCTCAGGTTTCATTCAATTCATTGAATTCGATTTAGGTTTAGTTTATTCATTTATTTTTATTGCTTATACAATGTTGTATTGTTGTAAATGCGATGTTGTTCAAAGTTCTCTTCCACCGCGTGAATTTTTTTTTTAAGGTTATTTCAAGAAGGATGAAGCTATTTGTACCCTAGAAACACTGTTTTACACTTTGTTTTTGTTACTAAGTATACTCGGTATTGAATTTAAAAATGTCTGTTTTAATTAATTCTCTAGAATTTTTTTTTTTTAATATTTTTTGTTCAAGTAACTATTGGTTTAATTGTTTTGTATCCAAAGTACTAAGATATGTGGAGTAAAAATCTAAATTTTTAACTAAATAAAGATTTGTGCACTTAGAAAATGGGTGGGTGCATTTTATTGATACAAATAACCCATAAAAGTTCGAGAAATTTATGAAATTTTCCGTTTCTTTTGCTATTGTTGGAGGAATTTTTGATAATAAGTGTACAATTTTGAGGGGATGTTTATATAATTATTATTTTTATTTTTGTTTTGGTATATTCGTTCAAAGCTGCTTGCATAACTTATGTTATTGTAATTTTAGTCTCCTGCGTGAGTGTTTACAGCTTGTAAAATTTTAATATGCTGTCTTGTGTGTTTTTTGTTTCTTGAGTTTTCAATGTAATTGTGTTACTATAATTTTTCAGATTATTTAATACATTTCCCCGTGGATATTCTTTGTTAAATTTGCTTTCAAAGTCATGGTGGGGTGGCCGAGACATTTGCAGTTTGCGCTTCATCAAGTTGGAAAAAGGGTGGCACATAATTTCAATGTATCTACCAACTTTTCTTGTCTGTCTCGTGTGGATTCCCCTCTTTTGTCAGGTTAGTCTATTGCAATCTCTTTCTATGGGAGCATATTATGAACTCTTCCTCTTGACTGAATAAGAATCTAAGGTTAAATTTATAGGTAAAGTAAATGGCTAGTTGATAGGGAAATATGGAATACCAAATTTAAAATCCCTTTGTCATCATTCTCCTTGAACTTTTGCAGGTCAGTTACCTCATGCACAGAGGCTCTGGAAATCACCTTCTTCAAACTTCTCAAGGCCTTTATATCAGTATTTGCAACAATTGGTAATACTTGCATGTCCTTTTACATTTTGTGTGATTCTTTTTATGAAATTGAAGCAATTTTAGAAATTGCTTGATTGATCCTATGTGTCAAATATAATAAATAGAAGCAAAGTGCCAGTTTAGCTATGACACACGTTGAGACCTGACATGTTTTGCAAATTTTCTGTTAACTGTCCATGATTCTTAGGTAGATCTGATAACATTTTACAGCAGGCTAGCATGGATTTCTCGTATAGGGGCTACTTTCTGAATTAATATTGGGAAACATTGTGTGTTAAGAAAATTTAATGAGATAGGTGTTGCTGTCAAAAATTGTTCAGCTTGCTTGATGTTCACAGATGTTGTTCTTCATGCATGCGTGGCCAGCACCCCCCTTTCTTGTAGACAAGCACTCCTTTTGTACTGCTCTAAGGTCATGTACAGTTGGAAACTCTTTCTAATTATCTGCTTTTTAAGTTGAAGCAGAGGATGATACACCAAGCAAAAGCTGACACCTTTTCAAATAATTTTCAAGATGAACATTTATCTGCTGGAAGCATTATATAAAGATTTTGAGTTTGATTTGTTCAACCCTTCACATTCGTAAACTATGGGAATTTTGTACTATGTAGTTTAGCTGGTTTGGGTCTCTTGGGGCTATACAAAGGTCTTTGGAACAGGTTTGGTTTAAATTTGTTAGTTTAATAAAAAGTATAAACTTTAAAAGAATAAAGCAAACGACAGGAATTTGTTCGGATGATGGGGGTTTTTACTTCAGTGCTCAAGATGCAAAATGTGACATTTTATTTTTATCTTATTTCGGGTTTTACTGTTATAATTTGTTGTATCTTATCATCATTATTGTTTTTACTCGAATAGGATATTTCCAGCTCAAGGCAGTTACTAGCAGAGTCATCAAATGAAACACCTATTTCATCTCCATTGACTCCTGTGTTGGCAATAGATAGTGGAAAAACTGATGAGCAAAAGGTGGTTGTTAAACCCTCAAAAGTTCAAGCAGTTCTAAAGGGCATAAAACAGGTACTACTATAGAAAATTTTACAGGAACATTTATTTTCATTGTTTTGTTTGTGAAGTGTGGATCTTATTCCTGCTGTTCTTGCATCCAAGTAGTTCTAGGCTTCAAAATTTCGTTGTGTATTAGACTTCAAATTTAAACTGCTTCAGAAAACATGAGTTGCACATGGTTTGTGTAAACACAAGATATACATTGGTAGATCTCTAGTACAGACATTATGCTATTTCAGGCTTAATTCTGCTGTGTTATGTAAACATGTAATATTTGCTTGGTCTTTTTCTGCGTCATTTGACTAGCTTTAGTTCACTTGCTCTTTCAGAGTCCTAAAAAGGTCAACTTGGTTGCTGAATTCATACGTGGCATGCGTGTGGAAGATGCATTGTTGCAGCTACAAGTGACCATAAAGCGAGCAGCAAAAACTGTCTATCAGGTGATCCAGCCATATGACTCCTGTAGGTTTCATCAAGTAGGAAGACTTAAAATTTTAATGATACAGTAGGGTGGGGTCAACAGAGTAACTTCTCAGTTAATTAAAAGTGTGTGACAATTTTTTTCTTTTTTTTTGAATCTAGCCTTCTTTAAATAGTTCCTACATTTTGAAATAAAGGAAACAATAAAATAAATAAATAAATAAAGGGAAGTTATAATCAGGAAGCAGCTAAGGTGAAGAAAGTTATGCACTTTGGGAAACAAGATTTGGACTGTATTTGTAATTTTTAAAATTTCATTATGTAAAGAATTTTCAAAATGGTTGTGCGGCTTGTGCATTTTGTTTACTATTCCTGCCTGTGAACTGAAGACAACTCATAACATTAGTGCATAAAGGTGTTTCCAGAGGTTTGAAGACGAGAATGATTGTGTTTCCTAAGAATTGGGAATGTCAATTTTAGCATTCATGTGATTAATATTTGTATTCTGTAGGTTATTCACTCTGCCCGAGCAAACGCCACTCATAATCATGGGTTGGATCCTGATCGTCTACTTGTTGGTAAGTAATCGCAAGTGAATTTTCTTGTATATTTGTTTTCACTCTGCTAATTCTGTATATCTAATTCTTTACAGCTGAGGCATTTGTTGGGAAGGGATTTTTTAAGAAAAGAATTTCATACCATGCAAAGGGAAAATGTGGACTTAAAGTAAGACCGGAATGCCGTTTGACAGTGGTCGTGAGGGAGATGACCCCAGAAGAGGAGGCGCAAATAGCCCGGTTGAGAGTACACAATTTCCGCAAGAAGACTAAGAGGGAAAAGCGGCTTGTACCTCATACACTTATTGAGTCAACTCCAGTTTGGAACCGCAAAGGCAAAACCCGTCGTCATGAAGCAAATGTGGCTGCGTAACTCTAATTTCTTCATGTTTTTGCCTTTTTTTAGAAGGTTTTAGTAGTTTGTGAGACCTAGATCTGCATTATAGCAGGAATTATCTTGTAGAATTTTGCCACCAAATGTCCAAAGACAGAATGGAAATAGAACAAAAAAGCAAAATAACTTGCTCAGTTTTGGTTAATGCAAATATGTAGCTTCAACGGCTGCAGGTGGTTTTGAATACTCAAATGTAGAATTTCATGGGAACATATTTCCAGTTTAATTCTCTAGTAAAATGAAATAATATTTTGTAACGGACATGTTAATTTTGTTTTTCTCTTTAATTCTCAGCCTAATTCTACTGGAAAAAGTATAAAGAATAATCCAAATTTCATCACTTTGACATTCAAATTTCAAAATAAAACCCGAAATGGTAATTAATTAACGTTAACATCAATTCAACAATAACAAAACTGAACATTGAATCATCACCGCCTGAGGTTTTCAGAAGTTTGGGGAAGAAAAAATAAGACTGCAAGAAAATACGAGACGAATGCCAGATGTTACAAGAAAATTCCAAGTACTTAGCAGTTTGGTCCATCGATATTTCTGTATCTGAGGATCTCAACCCCCAAGTAGTCAAGAGGGCCATGAACAGCAACATGAGGCTTCCCAACCTTCACTCTTACGGCAGAAATTTGAGAGTGTTTTGTCAGAGTGTTCGAAGCAATGAGTTGAGCCACTGACTCAAGAAGATTCTGAGGTTGTCCTTCAACAACTTCCTTAACTATGCTGTTAGTCACCAGTTCACACCATCAGAAGGAATTCATGTCAAAGAAGGCATACACTTACTAATCCACAACTATCAAAAGAGAAACATATCAAAGAATAGGATCCCATTAAAATTCAATTTAGGTATTTGGTAAAATGTTTCAAAAACCCCCTTTTGGAAAAATCAGAAGTAGAGGAATATATGTATATACAAAATGGAGAACGATCCATGGCATAAATTTTGAGTCGTTAGATCAGTGCAAATTGGTTGATTGAGATCAATCTATCATGCATATTGCATAATGAGCAACATAATTTAGAAGGAATCTTAACTATTCAAAATACATTGATAATAAAAATGGCACCACTGATCCTTACACAAGCAGAATTTACCAAATTCATATAAACTATTTCGGAAACTCAAAAGCACTTCCAATAGCAAAATTTATCAATCACTCAACTTCTTTTCTTCACCACAACAACTAATATTACTTCTTTCTAATGTTAACAATCATTCAAACTGGTCCTAAGACTATCCAAGGTCTGTTCACATTCACCGTAAAAACAGAACGAGCAAGTTTCAATGGGCCACAAACACAACAATTAAAATGTTAACAATCAAATGCAAATATTTAGAGAAACATCAGCACCATCATCATCATCATAATATAACCAATTGCAAGAATTATAGATGAGGGTATCAATAACTTTGACTTACCGATAAATGTCCGTATAACTAACAGTATCGGACAAGGAATCAGTTTTACCAGCCATCCGAAGATCCATCCAAGCATCTACATCGATCAAAAACTTCTGACCGAGTTTTCTTTCTTCGGGCTTCACTCCGTGAAAGCCATGAAACTTCAACCCCCTCAATACGAGTTTGTCACCTCTCAATAACTCAACTTGTTCCATAACTGCTCCTAATCAATATCATAATATCACAATTAACTATGGACTCAACACATAGTACTTTAATTTCCCATTGGCATCTCATCAAAAACTTGAGTGCATAAACAAAGTACTAAAATTTCACACAATAAAATGGACATTAACATGATATATCTAATTTGGAGAATTAAACGAAAAGAAATACTGAAATTGAAACCCAATAAACCAGTAGTTTAAGATCTGATAGGCACTTCACCCAACACTTGGGGGCATAAACAAAGTACTCTAATTTTACACTCAAAGAAACTGTAAATACAAATGAAACAGAGTAATCTTGGAGAATTAAAGCAAAAGAAAACGCTAAAATTGAACAAAAACACAACCCACAAACCATAAGTTATGTTAAAGACAAATAATAGAATAACCCAGAAAAATATTGAAGTTAAAACTTGAGAAGAAAAAAAAAACCAAACTTTTAGATTGTATAGAACAAAATAAATACCTTATAATGAAGATACAGAGATGTTTTGGCGCTAATGAGAGCTTTATTGGGCTAATAGAGGGGAATGAGACTTCAGACTTATCGAGTAATACACCCACCAAGATCCCTATCGTCCCAACAGGCCACCAAAGAGTCCCTAGTCTTTGCATACTTTTGTTAATTTGTTAATAGAATAGAAAGAAGATAAGGGTGTCTTTCATAGTTTCAAAACGATAAGGGGTACTTTATATTTTCATTAAGTTTAGGGTTATTAAGTGCCAAAATCTTCTACATGTGGTAAATGGTGGACTAATAAGATTATCAGATGTTGCCACGTTTCTTAAGCCACTGTACTAACATAAACGTGGCGATGATCTGTTAATTGTGACACGTGTGTTTGTTTTGGCAGCGTGCAATTGGTTGAAGTGGGCGGCTCAAGTTCTACATAAACACCTCCCCGGCTCCCCCTCTGTACAATGTATCCAATTCAAAGAGTGGTGTAAGGAGAAAGAAATGACCTTGCAGTCCTCTAAGTTTTTGTTTTATTTTGTGTGATCCCTCATATTTGCAGAAATCAACTCAGGTTCTGTTAAGGTTGTTATTTCTATATGTGAATTGGATACAATTGAACATGTTATTTAAGATTATAAGATTATAACTTGTTGATGCATGATTTTGACACCAACCAAACGCACGTGTGAAATGCTGAGTGGGCTCAGAAGACACACGTGGATGTGAGAGTGAGAGTAAATGCAACAAAGAGCAGCGTTTAAAGTGGTTCGGATGCTAAGGAAGCAAATCCTACGTCCATTGATTTTGTATTAATGATAGTGGTCAGGTCGCATTCAACGGACTGACTTACAAATGATTATACAATAGTGAGAATGCTATTTTTTCTTTAGAGAGAGTAGCTAATCCCTTAAATGAGAGAGGAGCTCTCAATTTATAGTAGGATGAATTAAGGTTATCATTACTAAATCTGTGAGTTGGTGGGATTATCCGTGTAAATCCTTCCTTATGTCTCATTGCCCACCTTATAGAGTGATTTACGCGATTTGGTGTAGTGATTAGACACGTGGAATCACTCTAGCTCCTGGCTAATCTGACGTGCACCCATTGCCTTGACAGGAGCATGCCGCCCCTGTCATTGTGTGACGTGGCTGCCTTTGACTAGCTACGGACATACCTAAACTCTGACTTTTTATGCTGACTGGGTCTTGCGTCAACCCTACTTTTTCAGGCATAACAGAAGTCCCATAGTTTTTAAGGTTTGGGGATCAAACGTTGGAAACTATAATTCATGCCGTGACAAGACGCCTTTGAGGAAACTTTAGTGATTCCGACCTGTTTGAAAAGAGGTCGAGACTGCGCTTCTGTGTGCGCGACCTGATCTTGGACCATACTAGTGCTTTGATTTCGATCTTTCGAAGTTCACGACCTGACTATACTTGGAATTCCTCGGACAAGGGATTGGGCTATTTTGGAACTTAATACTCGTCGAGAGTCACGTCGCCTCGCGACCAATGGGGTAGAATTGAGGAGTCACGTTGCTTCGTGACTGGTCAGATGAAGAGTGTTCTACGTAACAATCTCTTCAGGCTTTACCCGTTGCATTTTCGCAATGGATACATTTAATGAAACGCCTTCTGCTCTGACAGACGTGTCCTGTGCGCAATTAATGTTAGCCATGCGCATTAAATGCATGACATGCCAAAACGATATCCCTTATCAGAGCATTAAATGCAGATTAGGGTGCATTTAATGTGGCAGAAGAATCATGTTGTCGCTTGGGTTTTTCAACGGAGAAGGACGACGATTTGGTTTTCTTGGAGCGTGACAGTCACCCTTTCCTGTGGATCTGCGACATGTGGTCACGATCAACGGTGAGGTACATTTTTCCGCCCAAACGTCGTTTGATTTCAAGAAAAACAAGCGCCAGTTCTTTTGCTATAAAACCTAGGTTCGTTTCAGGTAATGTCGCCACACTCATTTGTTCAGAGAGAGCAAGAGACTTTTGCAAACTTGGATTCTTTGCCTTCCAAACCAGCGCGTACTTGATATTCGAAGCAAAAGGATCCATCTTCATATTCTGAGAGGCAAGAATTGTTTTCTGTTTTTATTTCTTACTCCTAGTAGTTGATAAATGATACGTCTTCCGATAGTTGATCGAAGATGAAATGTTCTTGCTGGGTTCGAGCCATGAATGGCAGCTCGAAATATTCTGTTAGGGTTTTTCTAGGATTTAGGAAGGGAAGTGTTTGCTTTCCTCCACGTCATCGTATGAAATAATGTACGAGGGCTAAAAAGATTCCCTGCTTGTCGCTTTTGCAGACTACAGTAGAATAGACCCCTCAATGACCAGGTCCAAGGAAGAGACCAGTTCGTCTACGCAGGATGTTCCTGCGAGTCCCACCCAAGAGATCTTCTTAGTACTTACTGAGGATGAGCTCGAAAAAGTGATAGACCAATATGGTATCCGCATGGATGTCTTCCGTGATAGGACACGCACAGCTTGGCATCCACCACATGGGTTGGCCGTGATCTCTAAGGAAATCTTCAAGGGTGGGGGGTTGATCCCTTTCCACCCTTTTGTCAGGTCGATCCTGGATCATTTCAAGATCGCACCGATGCAACTCACGCCGAACGTGTACATGATTGAGGTTGCCATGTACATCGTGTGTCGCGAGAATGGGTTGGGTGAGCTAACCGCAGTAGAACTCGGTTGCTCGTACATCCTAAAAAAGAGCAAGGACAATGATTCCTACTACTTGTCCAGGCGACCTACTATAGAGGAGGGGATACACAGTTACCCTAGCAATGCGGGGGCCTACGAGACGAAGTTTTTCTTCTTTCGTTACGACGGCCTCTACCGTTTCTAAGACCCGAGTAGGTTCTTTTCCCTTAACGAACTCATTGACTTTGTTTTTCTTACTAAAGAACTGTTTATTTTTCTGGTAGTTAACAAAATGACCAATTTGGATCTGCTCGCGGATCTGGACAGAATTGTAGCCTTTGGTTTCTTGCCCGAAGCGAGTCGCGACATAAAGCTGCTCGTGACAACCGCGAATCTGCAGAGATACAACTTTTTCAATGTAGACGCGACCTTAGAGTCCCCATCGAGTAAGTTATGCTAATTGGGTCCTTTTTGATTGCACAGTGAACTATTTTTACTAATGACGTTCATACGCAGCAACCATGCCTCCGAAGGTGCCAAGGTCGCCACAACGAAGACAATTTACCTTCCCTCGAGCGAGGACCACTAGGACGATCGAAGCTGCTTCCAGTGGTCTCCCGGCCGAAGGGCAACACTGGGGGCTTCGGCACGTCCTGTTGAGACTTTTCAACCTTTGGCGGGTGCCTTGGACCAACCTACGGGTACTTCCTAGTCTTCAGCTGTTCGCCCAAAGCAAAAGACAATGGCCCAGTGATCAAGGAAGAGGCGACAAATTCGGGCCAAAGAGTCAGAGTCCGAACCGGATGATCTAGGCATTCAGCCTGGGAGGTCACAGCCAGGCATTCCCACTGCTTTGAGAGCATCTCGAGCAGGGCAAAGCAGGGTCGCAGGTACTAGAAAGAGGTCGGGTAAGGAACCGATGGGCGACGCCCCTACCGGGGGCATCGGTAAGGACACTCTAGTGCTAGACTCGATGGGACAATTGCCGGATCATTTATAGCCGACGGTCTTCGCCTTATTGGAGTGCGAACTCGTAGAAGTATTTGAACAGTTCGTGGGTTCCAACCATGTGGACCTGATGTCCACATCAATCTAGCATATAAGCAAGGTAAAACGAATTGTCCTCAACGAGGACTTTACCTTTTCGTTCTTAGTAGGAGACTAACATTCTTCTTGTTCGCAGGCTCTGCTTTCCATGCAACTATCCCCACAAAAGGTCTGGCTGGAATCTGCTGTAGGAGAGGTCGCGCTAAAGGAAGAGAATGCGAGGCTCAAGCGAGATTTGGAAGCCGTCGAAGCAGAAAATGAGCTATCCACTGAATCGGTGAACCAGTACCTGAGCGAAAGGAATGCGGCTTTTCGCACAGTGGATTTTCAAAGGACCGAGCTCGAGAAGCATAGGGAGGAGATAAAGGAACTCCAGAGGACTATAGCCAAGCTCTCTAGGGAGGCTAGCGAGAAAGACCAGGAGCTCAAAATGACCTTTCAGCAGGCCTTACGAGCAGAGCAGGAGAAGGAGGTCTCAGAAAAGCAAAGGCAGGCTCTCGAGGCTGAAATCCAAGCAAGTTAGGGAAGCGATCAGCAGGGCATAAGCTAATCGTTCCATTTCTGGATACCGCATCTCGACATCTAACAGACACTTGCTCGCTTAATACACTGGCCATTGGACCCTATCCTCTTCTCGAATTAAGGCACTGATCGCGAACTGAGAGACAGACAGATACAGGAGGAGGATCTCTTGCGAGAGAGGCTTGGACAGAAGAGGTGGCTTCCCGAGGTGTTCTTTAATACTCTGGAATGCCTGTTCGCACTCGGGAGTCCACTCAAACTTTTTATTGACCCTTAGAACATTGAAGAATGACAAGCAGCGATCTGTTGCCCTCGACATGAAGCGACTTAGTGCCGCTATTCACCTATGGAGGCTCATGACCTACTTTTTGTTGGTCAGGCTTTTCATATCGAGGAGAGTTTGGATTTTCTCGGGGTTGATCTCTATTCCCCGTTGGTTAACCATGTATCCTAGGAATTTTCCCGAGGATACTTCGAATGAGCACTTGAGGGGTTTAACTTCATTCTGTATTGTCGGAGGATGTCGAACATCTCAGCGAGATACGCTATGTGATCTGAAGCGACATGCGACTTGGCCAGCATGTCATCTACATAGACGTCCATTGATTTTTTGATCTGTTCGGAGAACATTTGGTTAACCAACCGCTGGTAAGTTGTGCTAGCGTTCTTGAGGCTGAAGGGCATAATTCTGTAGCAGTACAACCCTCG